GGTTGTATCGAAAACGGCGAAGCTTGGAAAAGCCTGTGATCACAGAACTGACTGCGGCAAGTTTTCGTGTGAATTGCTGGTATTTGATTGAAGGATACAAGTGTCTTATACTAACAGACTTTGAAGTTTATTTCTTTAGTTCAGCAAACACAGGGGAAACACTATATACATGTAACAGTGCATATGAGTCACATTTGGAAAATAATTCAACTCGAAACGTGGCTCCACTTTTTGGAACTCTGTGCATGTATGTACGTGGATGTTGGCCACATTGATGGGGAGACAATTTTAAATGTTTTGTTGAAAACCTCAAATTGTGACCAATAAATTAAAAAATATTTTTAGAATGTTAAATTCAAAAAAATGTGGTGACATTTATTGTGATTGTTTGAATTTGGTGACATTTATTGTAATTGTTTGAATTAATTTCTGACTGATCCATTTTTTTTTTATAACATTGTACATTCTATGTTTCAGGATGTCTGTGACAATACAGTTCATGGCAGAAGGATCATAAGGAAGGTCTGGGAGGATCTCAAACAACTTTCATCTGACATGGTAAAGCTTTTTATTTTCATCATAGCAGGGATTTAGTTCAGTCCATCACAAGTCCCTGCAAGTCCATCACAAGTCCTCCAGTCCCAATTCAAATTACAAGAAGCTATTCCAATGAGCTTTGTCAAAGGCATTCCTTTGTTATTGTTCATCCATCCTTTCTTGGGAGTGGACTTATGAATGGACTTGTGAGTTACTTACGACTTGAGTTGTGGTGGACTTGTGATGGACTTGTGATGGACATGTGATGGACATGTGATGGACTTGTGATGGACTTGTGATGGACTTGTGATGGACTTGTGATAGACTTGTGATGGACTTGTGATGGTCTCGACTACATCCCTGCATCAAAGTTTAACTCAAACCATCCAATCTTAAATCTGCTAAAAAAGTCTGCATGATTTCTTTGTTTGGTAGAGCTTCAAGCACCATTTCCTCAGGCTTTGTCCAAATTAAATGGCTATGACTTGCGAATACACATGTGCTTATGGAATCATCTGAAGCCACTTCCCATAGACACGTGCGTGTACCTGACAGCCATAGTCATAATTTAGCCGCAGCCTTACATTCTCGGAGCATGTGCCATAAGTAATTATTGTACAGCGTTAAATCTTGCCAAATTCAAGAGGATTCCTTTTGGGGTATTTTTAGATTTGACCCTTTCTACATGTAGGCGTCCATACTTGTTCCTAAGTGCCAAGTGTGGAACCTGCCACTTGTGCCATAAAAAAAACCTCTTCCCACCGAACAAGCCTGTATAGCAGGCCGATTGGTTTTCCCTTTGTACAGCACACGTACCCTCTTCATCTGTAAGAGGTCACACAATGTGCATTGGAAATTTGCTTGCAATATGGGAAAAGCAAGAAAACTAACCTCATGGGAAAAAAAGCAAGGGTAGTCCTCTAAATAAAAACAAAGACAAACGTCTCTGTCATCAGACCCATACATGTACAAACTCGGATAGAAACACACTTGAAATTTCTTGCTATGGGTGGATAATATGTAGCATGTGCCTCTTTTAAATGAAATTGACAAAGAATTATTCGGTATGAAATTTTATTCCTTGAAAGTTGAAGCTCAGAGATAGCGCCCATGCCTCCGTGAACACAAGCCGTTAATGTCACAATCAGTCCAATTTTGTACGGAAAGTTAAGTTTCATTGGCTGCAAAATTAGCCCCATTTCCCCAGGGCTTCTGGCCGGTAGGCCTGGCGGTGAAACTCATTCAAATCAATTGGTAGTGCAGTTTGCTTTTTGATGTTTTCCCGATAAGATCCAATTTGGTAGACTGAATTAACCCCTGCTCACTTTTTGTATTTTTTTGATATGCACTGATGCATGTGGTAATGCCTGAGTCATAGAGGTGCAAATGTTTACAGTTTGGATTATGGCATTTTAATAATTTACAGGATGTGTCTGCGTGTGTGTATTTTGTCAGCAGAGGAGTACTTTCAAATGGGAGGTGAAGGGTTGATGGGAAAACTTTGACGGCATCACATGTTTTTTCCCCATGCTAAGTTGTGTACTCAAGAAGTTACATCGCATACAAGTCATTACACCATCCATATTAAGTGATTAATATTGTACCGGTTACTTTCAAAACTCTAGAGCAATCGAAACATAATATCGCTCCAGAGAGAATTTCCTCATTCACCGTATTGGTAATCTCTCATACATTAATTGAATAAAAATTTGATATTTCATTTGATTAATTGAATAAAAATGGATTTAGAATTTTTATGTGTTTACAACAAAAATCAATTTGAGTACACATGTACATTGTACATGTACATGTAAGTAATAACCAGTTAAGACATTTTTGAAAATATCTGAATCACAAGAAACCGCGAGTTAACCATTCCACATGTGTGATGCGATGTGATGTGATCCGATGTGAGGATGCAGCTTATCTTACACCATCTTGGGACTTGGTCGCTGCCCTCCACTCTTCCCTATCCAGCATTAGGGTCCTCAACTCCCCCCCCCCCCTTCCGTCACTGAGACCAACATCCCGCCACATGTACATGTAGATCCCAAATTGAGACAAATATGTGACATTCAGACATTCAGGCCTACTAAATCATGACTTAAAACATATTATTTGGCAATTCTATACATTTGGAGTCCATATTTTTTCATGTGCCTGTTATTTAGTATGATGTAAATACCGGTACTCTTTCTAAGAGTGATTATGATATGAATGACAAACTACCTACACAAGAAATTAAAATAGTTTGAAGTCATTTCTAATGATAATTGAATGGTAATTTACAAATATCAGACACATGTTAGAGGTATCGGGAACAGGAAAAATGTCACATTTTGGACCCTAAATTTATAGAACGACTGCTCAATTAATTTAACTGAAGGGATACATGTACATTGTAGGGTAGTACTGTCCTCAGTGAATACCTCTCGTATCAAATATTATTTTCTTGTGTGCACACTTCTTACTTGAACCCTATAGGCCTGTATGCCATGAAACCACACATCCAGGTCCATGTAACCAAAGATTTATTCTTGAAGTCGGCCGTTGACAGATATTTATTAGATTTTGTGGGTTCCCCTGTGCCTCGTGGCATGTTGGCATTCAGTGACAGAGTTGTGCTTAGCACATGAATGATGGCCTGCCATTTTCTATCGCATTAGAGCAAGTCCTCCAGTCATATAAGCCTACATGTATGGAGGGGAGTGCCATTAAAAAAAAGACTGATTAATGTACAATATAGGGGCCAACAGTACAGTAATACACAGAACTTTGTAAAATACCGGTACATTGTACTGTACATGTAACTAAAGCTGTTTTTTTTAATAAATGGATTTTAAGTACAACGTTGACACTGATAGTCCAAGCAAGCTCGCTGTGGGAGATCGTCATTCTGGGAATTATTTTTAGTGATCCCTGCCATTACACGTGTTTTTCTTCATTTTTTGCATTAACTTTTAACAACTTGTGTATGTTCATACACAATGTGTTTACAAGGTAGTACCGGTATGCATTTTGGGAAAATGAATGCACAGCATGTACATGTACATGTAATGTATGCACTTCTTCACCCATTTTCACAAACACAGGTGTCTCCACTAGCTTCTTTTCAACTCTTGTCTATTTCTTTAATGTTGGAATGCTGTAAGTTTGTAAAAACATGTTTGCAAGACCAAATTCTTGTTTAACTTCACAACAGTGAAGAATTAAAACCTTTTTCATTTTTGAGGATTGTTGTTACCAAATCCAGTGAGGAAGAAAATATGTGGGACATAACGATCCACTGTTAATATTCACATATGCATGTACATGTAGTTTCATGAACATGACCATGTGCTGTTTAGAGACAGGCTAACAGTGAATCATTGATCAAACTGTCTGCACATTTGTCTGTAGGGACTGTGTTCTAACACTAGTAACAGTGAGCTTTGCATTAGTACCCATGCATGGCCCTGTCCGTGTTTGATTCCCCTGTTTTGCACCATTTAATCCGACACACACTACAGGGTTTCAGTTTCATGAAATTAACCTGTGCATACATGTATCATTGATCTTTTGCGGATCTCAAATTTCCTCTTTTTTGTAATTTACACAAATCCCGGACACAATTGCAATAAACCATTTGAAAATCCAGCATGCTGTCAAAATGTTTAATCTTTCTGGCATCCATCGCCCCGTTTGTTTAACTTGTCTGAAAAACTCACACACACATTGAAAGCTAATGTCAATTCTATGAATAATACATGCCCTCATGCATATTCAAATATCAAACCACCCCTGCTATAATTAGACGGCGATGTCATCCCTATTCCGAGTGGCTGCGATAATGTCTATTTATGAGCCATCCCATAGTGCTCCGTCTCTCGCTGTTGCCATAGGCTACGGTATTTCATGCCCGGTAGAACCGACGGTCCAATATTGCATCCGTTGATGAGTGGGCGCTACCATTTCTTGCGGAGGGTTTTTGGTTACCTTTTTCCACTTTCTTAAAAGACAGTAAGATGCCAAGCTCTTGAACTTGGCGTGAAGCAGATTCAGACAAAATTACTGCAGTGCCACAATTACTGCAATGCAGTGCTACTTGTGTGCTCTGTAAATGCAGACATTTTAGACATGCGTGCACCGGTAATGCTGCAGTTCAGCAAGTACCGGTACCTCTGTTTAATTCTCATTCATCTTTCACACGGCAGAAGATTGATGATTCACGTGACGCACTGTGTCTAAACAGTGGCTCAAAGCCCTAGCTGCATAAATGTATAATATGTACGTGATGGAATGCTGTTATCATTTTTTCACTTTTACTATCCTTGGCCAGACGTCACATTCGCATCCCAAGTCTACATATTTTGTGCCCATGTTTGGGCTCAAAGAAGAATTTTGAAATCCGTTTTTTTTTGTAAAATGAAAATACAGAAACAATCATTGAAAGAAAAAAAAAAAATATTGAAAAACGTTCAGGTGGATTTATAGACCCAAGAGTACATGTACTTCATCATTAAATGTAATGTGTTTTTTTAATCTAAGTTTGTAAATCTTGTCATGTTTTGATTGATGACCCAATTATGTCGATATTCAGTTGGGTCCAATATCAATTGTACAAAATTGTACTGGACTAGGACATGAAACAGTTTTGCTAACAAGCAAGAGCTGTTTTCATATTTCAAGCACCATATTTTTCCAGTGCAATTGCAGAATTTAAGACAATAGTTTCAGGATATTGCCTATGGTATGGAGTACAAATCAATCTGGATTTTTTTTTTTAATCCCATCCTTGTCATCACCCGGAGGTGGGAATGGATGCTGCCGCACATAGCATTAAGTCAAAATTAATCACCCCTCTGTCTTGATGACATCACGGTGTGTTCCAGCGCTCGCGTGAGAGAGACCCAGAGAGCTCTGACCTGCCGTCACAGAGTTGTGAATGAGTTGCGTGGAATCATCAACCCACTCACGGAGAGAGAGAGAGGAAGAGAGATCCATCTGGGGGGAAGGTGTGGCGTGCGTAAATACGTTAATGACAACCGGAGTGAACCACTGATGGTTTTGAGAACTGGAATTTGGCCAGAATCAACGAGATTGCGTACACAAAACCGATCTTTCCGTCTGTGGCCTTTTTGTTGTTGTTGATGCTTCCTCTGAGCACTGGATGACAGTCATTTGCAGACATTATGATCGGGGGTCGGACCGTGTTTGACAGATGTGCCCATGGCTGCCATATTGTTTGACAAGAGATCCAAATTAAGGTAACAGTGTTGTGAATTATGTTTGTAATCAGTCCCACAGGTTCTGTATGTTTGAGTGTTTGTACTTTTTAAGAATTCACTTGACATTAATGTCCATGTACATGTAGTTTTATTTGGCTGTGCGTTTGAATTAGGTATTTTTATTTGTGGTGTGGCTACAAAAACAGTGACTATCAAACATCAAAACCAATGGAGTTGTTGTCTGGCAGCTAATAAAAGTAACATTTCAATAACTACCAATATGAGCCGATTTTTTGTTGATGTCTCATCCAAAGGTGGATACATGTACATGTACATGTAAGTTTTGCTGGCAAAAATAGCAATTTAGAAAAGGAACCGGTTGTTTTTTCAGGATGAAACTTGAAAACAGCACGGGGCATGCAGCTTTAAATCACAATGGATGTTTTTCCCATTTTGAGCTTGATCAAAATGATTCAGCATTATGCATGATTTTTCTTTTTCTTGTACATGTAGAAATTTTCAACCCTGGTCCATTCAGTTAGATGCCACATAACCCCATCTTCTCAGACTTGAAAAATGGCAAGTACATGTACAATGTATGTAAAAAAAAATCGCATTTAAACATAGACCCAACTTCATAAAATTGGTAAGTGTGACAATAAAAACGACCTTGAGGGTCAGACAGTGAAGATAATGTGCTCAATGTAACATTGCCATAGTGATCAGTCATCATGCGAAACTATCATTATTGACAGCTTTGAGGCACAGTATGTGGTCTGTCTTCTGATACCATGAAGGGTATTGAATGGTAGGCCAGACACCTTGGCTGCTTCAGTAAAGCATTCAAAAATCGTAATTGCATTACATGTGGTAACAGACTCCAATTATAACCAAAGCAGCCAGCACCGTATTGATTTCTTTAAAAAAACAACGAAATCCTCAATAATAATCGCAGGATGCCGGTGGCCAGAATAATAATTCCCTGGCTGGCTTATTCATGCGAGAGGTTTCTCTTTCTTCCCCTGAAATACCTCCTGTCAAAAGCCAGGGTGCGCACATTTTCTGTCTCACTGGCCGCAAAATTGAATGTGTCTTGGAATGTGGTATCAAAAACCGTGCATAATAACGATCCCTTTTGTGTCCCTGCAAGCCAAAATCATATGGAATCTGCTGCTGGGCCTGTCCTGTTGGTGAGTGGAAGAAAATATTGATTTGGACTCCAATTTTTTTTTTGGATCCCCCTTTGTGAGAGGGACATCTGAATGCAAGAAGAAAGAGCTCGCCCGCTCCAAATGGGGCGGAAAAGGGGTATCAAATTATTGGCCGATGTTCCTGCGGGTGATGTGGGGAATTGTCTCGGATGACACAAAGAGAAATCGATTGTGAATCTTCTGGGCATGGAAGAGAACGCAGAGCTTCCTCCCTGTAGTTCCAGTCTTGATGGCAGTGGCGGCAGTCTTTGGCTTCCAACCTTAGCCACCGTTCGGCCATACAAGCCCGCTCATCCTTGACAAGTCTTTTTCAGCGGATAATTATTTATCTTCGTCACGGACAGTTGGTTTACCAACCGGAAAAGCGTTTGCAGCTTTAGGCATTTAAAGCGATCAAAAATATTGTCCCTTTTTATTTCCACAAAGCTTCTCGTCCTTCTATTGGTTTTTTTTTTTTTCGTATCTGTGGAGCCCTGCATTATTATTTTTTGCATTTTTTGCATTGTTGGTTTATAATTTTGTACATGTAGTGCTGAATATATATGTACAGTAGCATAAGTACACAGCAGCAGCTGCACAGTACAGCAACTGTGCAAATCTGCCGAGTTACTATTGGATGAAACCAGGACCTGTTGGCATTGCATCAATATGTATCAACATGAACCATGGAGCTACATGTGTAGGACCCTAGCTCTATGAATGAACCAAGTCAATCTGCAGCCTCCGTTACAACTTTCGAAATACTTCTTGCTCTGTGGAAAGCTGTGATTAGGGTAGGGTACATTTGTTAACTAAATGGATTGTAGTATTGGGTTTGGAAGTTTAAGGGTTAATGCACCAGTACATGTGTGCATTAACGCCTACATGTAGTTTCTGTATCTTTGTCTATAGTGCTGATCAATGTACGTGTACACATTTACAATGTATGCATATTAGGGGCCATTCAGAATGTTCAATGTTTTAAAATTTCGACTTTTTTTCCAAATTATTTTGACCCACCCACCCACCCACCCCTAATTTCGATTAATAAAAAACTGAACATGTACATGTACATGCAAGTGCATGTACACATACTTGAACATGAACATGTATACCCCTGTACATGTGTGTCTAGTTCAGTGACGGCGTGAAGTTGTCGGTCTTCCTCTTTTGCACTGGTGACCTTCAGTTTTCTTGTGTTTCGCCAGCTGATATGTTGTTGGGAATGACAGGTTGCAGTTTTGGAAGCCACAAAGATGACCGTGGTTTTGTTGTTTTCTGGATGAGGTGGATGACATGTGACATACGAGGTTGTGCCTGTCACGTGAAGTAGCTGAGAAAAACATTCGCTCGTACCCCCCCCCCCCCATGATTCTTTTACTACTTGTTCTCTGATGAGGTATTGAAAACCCCAATCCCTCTTCAGCTTTAACCAGATTGATAATACACATGTTAGTGTACCGGTACGTGTGTATAGATTTTAATGAGAACTTGGAGTACCGGTAAAAGAGGTAAAAATGTATTCAAAACACACAAACGTGTGTTCACCGTCGATCGTGGACGTCCTATTGTCCCTCTTTTGTTTGTACTCAACTTTTTGGAAGACTCCCATAGGTTTTGTACACGACCCCAATCGCGGACGTACGGTATGCTGGAAATCGTGGACGATATTGTTCTCTTTTGTTCTCTGGTATTTTTCGTCCCCGGTTTGAAAAGATGAACACGTACACAACTACATGTGCTAGTAGAATGATGTACATGTATAGACATGTACATGTACATGTAGTACTCCCCAGTTGTGTAAATGTACATATACATGTACATGTACATGTACAGTTTGTAGCATACATGAACCCCATACGAGGTCCCCGTGTCATTACTTATTTTAGAAGTTGTTTACATGCATTCTGATTCAAAATAATGCACAGCTCATTGTATCCTGTCACTTTGTTTTAATTCAGAAATTTTGATTTTGAGTCACTTGTGAAACAATTGAACTTGATGCACATGTACCGGTATGTTCTCACATCAAAATTTGATACTGTATGTGCGCAGAGTATACATGTACATCTCATTAGAAATACATTATGTGCATCAATTGTATTTTGTTTGCTTTTTTATTGTACATGTACCGTACTTTGCTGGAGGCAATCTCATTGTAATAATGGCCTTCCATTTAATGTCTAGGAAATATGACGTTGTGTGGTTTAAATAAAGCCTTGTTGTTAATTCCTGGCAGACCTGGCTATTCTAATTTGCATTGCATCATGGCTATTGGCTGAGTGAATTGAAGCATGTAATTGGTTTGCTCCAATGGATTGATAGTTTAGGTCACTGTACTTTAATATAGCTGGTCTTCTGTATTCAAGCCTACATGTTTAACCCATTAACCATTACATGTATTTATTACATTGTGCTACAGTGTAAAACTCTTTGATGAAAATGTAAAATTATAGTGATTGGAGAGTTTGGGGCAGTATCATGACTAACATTCAGGACGGTTTGGGGCGGTACAGAGAGTAACAGGCAGGACGGTTGGGGGCTGTACAGGGAGTAACAGGCAGGGCCGTTGGGGGCTGTGCAGAGAGTTAACAGGCAGGACGGTTTGGGGGCTGTACAGGGACTAACAGGCAGGGCGGTTTGGGGCAGTACAGCCTACAGGGAGTAACAGGTGGGATAGTTTGGGGCGGTACAGGGAGTAACAACAGGCTGGGCAGTTTGGGGCAGAACAGGGACTAATGTGTTAATGCCATTAAGTTGCTGGGAATGGGCTTGGTATTTCAGAAGTTACAATTATTATTTCAATTTATTGATTGTGGCACAAGTTTAAAGAGTATTTGCCATGGGAGGCAAAGAATTTATTTATTTATTTATTTATTTATTTATTTTTTATTTATTTATTTATTTATTTATTTATTTATTTATTTTTAAAAATATTTTTATGGGGGTTTTCCAGGCAGCTTGATATGCCAATACTCAGAGATTGTAAAACCGCACTCGTGAAAACTTAAAATGGAAACAGTCGATGGAGAGTGTATCAAGTAATTTCTTGAAACACAAGGAGCTGGCTAGTTCAGCACAAAGGCTGTATCCCTAACTCCTACCTGCCAAGAAACAACAAAACATCTTGCATGGACTAGCTTACTCTCTTGACATTACCCTCGGATCTAATTCGCCACTTTAAAAAGTGAACTAATACAGCCTTTACTGTGTGATTTGCTGTCAGTTTCTGGCCAAGGCAGCGCAGCCATGAATACCTTAAGTGTCAGTGTCAGTGTCAGCCCTTGGGGTATGGGCATAATCACGGGTGGTGGGGAGTTTTGGCTGAGGGTCAGGGTAAAGCTTCCATTGGTTCTTTGCCTGCATGCTGTGCACCTCCAACATGTACAGTTTAAATTCATTCAGCTGTGTAATTTGTTTCGCTGTGCGTAACGGTCAACTTCAATTCTGTGTTTGGACCCAGTTTTGAAAACCACTCACCAGGGCCCAATGTTTATGAAACTGTTAAGCCTAAGCGTGGAAATTTGCTCAGAACAGGAAATAGTTGCAGGGAAAAAAAAAGGGTTGCATCTGACTAGTTCTCATTTGTAGTTTCTGTTCAGCAGCTTTAATGAAATTTGGCTCTTTCTAGTAGTCCCCTGTACACTGGAACATTATGCCTTGTAACTTGCACACATGTGTGTCCATTAGTCACAGTTTTGCCTTGTAGGTATCTCGACCCTTGGACCTGGGTTTTCATTCACACCATTCATAACAGCAATCTTAAGCCGGTTTGATACCCATACAACCACTAATTCCTGAATAACAGGGCTGTGAATGTTAACAATTTGTGTGAATACAAGCAGCCAGTGTTGTCCGTGACTTCAAGCCTTCATTGTGGATGTGATTTTTTTAGCACACCGACTCTAAAAATTTGGCCCTGTCAGTGATTTTCGAAGAGGTTTTGTATGGGTGCACAGACATCTGGGGTTCTGAAATCAAGTACATGTAAGAGCAATGGAGGGGGGGGGGGTATATTTGGGGAGAATTTAAAAAATGATGGTAGTTGTCCCCTCTTGGCTCAAAGTGAAAGTGAATCATTAGAACAACATTGTGTGCAAGATGATTTAAGTACATGTACACATGTACATGTTCTGCAAATTTTTCCTTACTGCGTGTGAAAATCATATAATTTTCATCCACTCTAAGAATGACCATGCCTACATAATCTGCAAAGCTACAAGCAACGTATTCCCTTCTGACCAGTACATACCACTGCATGCACAACTCCACACTACTTCACACAATTTATCTAGCAAGGCCGATTTGATAAAAATAGAAGAATATTAAGAGTAAAAGGCCCAGGGGACTTTAATATATCAGTGATGATGGTCCAACGCCTTCGGTGGTAATGGCCAAAGTAGGAGGGGCCTGTATGCTTGAGTGGTTACAAGGACTGATTTAAGATCTAATCAAGGTTGAGTGAGTCACTGCTTGGTGTGTGTGTGTGTGTGTGTGGTATGGTGATTGGGTTATTGCCAGGCATTGTACAGCGTGGGGCCCAATTTGGTGAGGGGAGTTTTATTGGTCTCCCCTGATGATTGGGTTTGACACATTGGATGTAGTTTAAAGTGTGGTCCTTGCATGCCTTGCTTTGATGGTGTCAGAGGAACCTGTTAGATGAGTGTTAGGTGTGGGTAATTATGTGGGGAGGGGGAGGGAGGGGGATGCCCAATGTATTTCATGCATAAGTGTTATCATAGGTGTTGTAATGTGCATAAATACATAAATTCCCTTTTTTCCCTTTCAAAATCTAAAAATATTTACGCATACATAGCATTGCTTGTCAGTTATTACAAAAAGTGAAATGGCATTTCATAATTGGGTTATCTGGCTGCCATTCTAGGATTCAAAATCAATGTTCATAAAGGTTTTTAAAGAAAATTTATCAGCAAAACACAATGTCTTAGCAATTTTAGGGGAAAGGGAAGGAATAAGCAGATTTAACATTACTTAGCTTACTAAAAGTGCAAACTTGATTTTATATTTATGCCTAAAATTTCCAAAGCGCCATGGTAAAAAGCATCATCCTTTGATCGATTCCCATAGTGCACTGGGGCCATTGATGGATGAACTCCACAGAGAAACCATCCATTAGTGAGATCGCAAATGCTTCGGGAACTAAGCTTTCAAAAAGTACATGAACTCGCCTCATTTTTGTAATAAAACATTTTTTGGTCAAGGTCCGTGGCATCCCATAAAATAGTAGGATCATCCGAACCACAGGTTGTAAGTGTTTTGTTATATGGGAAAAAGCTGAGATCAATATGGTATGAAGCCACCGTATGATTCATAACGAAAGGATTTAGGAAGAAAAATCAATGACTGATGCACTTGTTTTATTATCAGACTGGTAGTAAACGGTCTTGGAAAGATGAGATGTGTGGCGGATGCAGAGGGGTAACGCACTTTTCATTTTATAGATCCAATGTTATTTGCAGGGGGAATTCTATATCCACAATTGGGTATTTACTGAACATGGCCCATGGGATGGCTTTCTTAGGAGGTGTTCATGTAGACCATGCATATTTTTTTTTACAGGAAGCCTGTTCTGAGTAAAAATTGAGCCATAAAATGTCAACAGCCGAGAAATGTCATTTGGTACAGCCAAGAATTAGAAGATCGGTACGCAGTTGCAAATCTTCAAATTTATTTTTCCTGTGCATGATTCATATTTCCTGTAAAACATGTATGTGACTTGCCGAACCTAGAGTTTGGAGGATTGTCCACCTGAAGTGTTTTTACATTACTTTGTTTTGCAGATGTGTGGGTGATATGGCTGTGTCCTCTTATGACCAACTACTCGCACAAGTCAGCTCGCTCAAAGCAGAAAACTCACACCTCAAACAGGTGAGTAGTGGAAACTCGCTTGAACTCCAAAACAAAGCTGTCAATTTAGTTTCCTCATAGTAAGGTGTTGTATCTTGGAAACTAGATGGAATTCCATGTCTAAGTGAAATATTTTGTGTCAAAAAGTGGTGTACGGACCTATGGTAATTTAAAATTCAGGCATAAACGTATGAAGGTGTCATGCTAATCTGAAAAGAAGAATTTTAATTGTTAACCAAAACTATTTTTAATCTCCAAAATCCCAAACTGGTCTTTTTCAGTACTAGACCATTTTTATTTCTTGGGGTCTGATATGGTTCTGATGGAAGCTCTGGCTTTGCATTTGTCCTGGACGTGTTCCGGGAAAATTTTCAGTAGCAACTGCTTGACTCACCAATACTGATAACTTCCATTACGGGAAGATTGCGGGGAAGTTGTTTAGAATCCTGCAACTTATACCATACGTAACGCCATGCTTTCTTTAATTACATAATCATTGCAAAGACTAATAACATAAAACGTCTTGTGGGTATTCTCCTTGTAGATGCCCAACAGTAAAATAAAAATGTGAAACCATGAATATCTTAGAGGGTTAAATTTCTGTTACGAAAGGGACATAGCATGAGTGAATTCTTGGACTTGTCCAAGAATGTCCACAACTTGTCCACAACTTGTCCAAGAATGTCCACAACTTGTCCACAACTTGTCCAACAATGTCCACAACTTGTCCACAACTTGTCTGGAACTTGGCCTGGATATGAATTGAGACGAGCCCTTAGTTGACTGCACAGTGATGGAGGTCTGATAATCTGGGATTCTTCAAACCAAATGTGAAAGCAAATTTGTGATGTCATAAATATTCGTGCTGTGACTTTACAAAATTTTAGCACAGTTGTATTCTGATGAATTTCGCTACCTGTGTTCTGTGACATCAAATATGATTTGCATTTGGGTGAAGTCTAAACTGGCCTGAAGGGTTAGCATGACTGATTTTGTTATTATTTTTTCCCCTTACAAATCAGGAATTGAAGGACAACTCGTGCCAACTGACCAAACTGGAAACGGAAGCCTCATGTATGAAAGATGCCCTCACCGAGATCCAGACCAGCATGCAAGAAGAGGAGGCTGCTGCTGCCACGGAAACTGCCATGGCAACCAGCCTGGACCACAACTCCAATAGTTAGTAGTCGAACGTTTTCAATTTGACGGAGCTACAAAGCGGAAACATTGCTCAGAAAGTTTATTTGCTAAACGAAAATCAGCAGGGAACCAGTCATGAGATGTATTCATCGCATGACAGATTGGCTGGTAACCTATATTTGCTAAGCAAGAATAATGTGTGCTTAGCAATATTTTCTGTGCTTGCAGCTCTTTGAATTTGGCCGTTTGTTGGGGTGTAACGGGTCATGGGATTCCATCAGGAGTCTCCGATCACGGTACTTGCTGTGTCAGATTCTAACAGACTAGTAAACCACGGCAAGCTTGGTGGTTAAATGGTTAGGACGTCTGCAGTAGTAACCAGGAGGTTGTAAGTTGAGTTCCGCCAGAGACAATATTGTAGTTGTTTTCTTTCCACTGACGTCTTCAGAAGAGAAACTACTTGTATGTGTGAAGTCCTAATGTACATGTATCTTGTTTCTGATCACTTGCAAAAATATTTATTTTTTAATTCTTGCCTTTTCTCCCTTTTTTTTTGTAGATGGGTTCTCACCACTGACATCACCACTAACGTCACCACTCTCCCCTAATGCTGTAAGGATCCACAAGCCCCACACTCCTCCCAGCATGCATTGCTCTTCCAGTAGTCCCGCCCCCGAGCCGTCTGGTAACTCCACACCCATGAGACAGCTCCAGGAAAACACCACCAGGATGCAAGAATTGGAGCGAGAAAGGTAAGGCAATTTTTGTCTCTCTTTTGTCCAATTTTGTCAGTTGTAGATGATTTTCAAAAAAATAGGAGGCACTTTGGGTCCTCCCAGATGCTTCACAATCTACCAAGAGTTTTTGGAAATTTTGAGGGATTTAAGGCCGGTCATATTCGCTGCAAAAGTGAACATGATTACCAATTTTGTGATGTCACAACAAGTTTTAGTGCTGCAAATTTGCAAAGTTGGAACTCATTTCAACTCTGGCAAATTTGGCTGGAAATGGTTCATGACGTCAAAATTCACTTCGCATTTGCAATGATGTGAATTATGAACCAGCATTTAGGAAGATATATCTCAACCAGAAATGCTCCATCTAGGACATGATGCCATTGATCTCCTCGACAGGGGTTTGTTTTCAAGATTTCAGGGTGATTCCCAGTAAAGAAGGTTTTGGTGGTGAGGGTTGAAAACTTGATATCACTAATAGGTAGAAAAGAAAGAGAGCTTGTGCAAGGCTGAGTTTGCTTCGCAGATGAAATTCTATAAATGTGTCCTATTTGTTGAACTCTGCACAGTACGGTTACATCTTCATGACTTGATAATGCAGTATTTACATGTAGAAGGAAATATCCTACAAGGTCTCCCCAACAGAGGGCTCCCTGCTTGCTTGTTAGCAATCGGACCTGACATGAAGGGAAATGAGATGTGAATAGCCCGGAGCATAATGCCATCAGTCGAGACTTCCGCTTACGGCCTCAGTCACGTACTGAGTCGGTAGACCAGTTGAAACATTACTTATCAGGTTCTGTCTTGCTGTCTTTCTCTTTAAGAGCTTGGGGACTGTTGCAGGATTCTCTTTTTAGACTTGTTTGTCCATTTCAGAAACTGTAAATATTATGTGGTGGTTGTATGTTTGATTGTGCCATTGGGCTTATTGAAGATGGTTGATGATTTATAACTTAACTTCCTGTCAAGAATTTCGAGCTGAACATCGTTGAAAATTTTGCACTGGCTTTGACTTTTTACTAGTATTCCCATCAGTTATCGGTTGCCGATTGACTCTTCACCCTGAAGCCCCAGGTTACATAAAAACTGAAATGGATGGCTAACTAGGTTATTTTTATAATGTAAATCTGAGACCAAACCTTTTGTGAGATATTTTGCCACAGAGAAATTACCATAAAAATCTAAACAATTGTGATTCTTAATTATCCACAACCAGAGCAATTTCTAACAAAAAAAACAACTGAACAGCACTCAATGACACTACTCCCTATATACAAACTGCAAACATTATGCCTTGGACAAAGATCCTGTTAGTTTTAGGATCAAAACGTTAGACCCTCTAGATTTTCTGATTTTAAGCGAACCATAGTAAACATAGCTAATAGAATTGACACCCTGTGCCAGTATCATCCGCCCTGACGTCACACAGTGCATGCAACATCTCCATAGAGGTTTCACGATCCCCCCCCCCCCCTTGAGCATACGTGCTGCAACCCACAGTCCTGCTCGATTCCGAGCCTCATATTGATTTCCCCTCCTCGCCTCAATCCACTAGACCGAGGATCTTCCATTTCTTCTCTTAGTTCCTGAGACGGTAGACCTTACTTTCATGTCTCCCTCGAGCTGTAGGAGCTTGTATGTGTATACATGTAGGTGATAGAGAGATCACTGTCCCACTGTGAGGCACGATTGGCCGTACGCCTATTGGTAACATATTGGATGCGAGTTGCTCTAATGTCAGGGGTGGGACTGCACTGCTAATGGTAAGCCTTGATTGGAATTTAGTTCTCCGATTGTCGGCATTGATTTGTGTACATGTACAGCCACTGTACTGCATAGCATTGTACATGGATACATACTGTATATTTTACTGTGTAGTACCGGTATGTACATGTAGGCCCATGTACATTGTGCATAAACATGTACATGTTCATCTGTACATGTCATTTGTGCATAATTTAGAGTAATACAGAATAATGTTATGTTGTAGTCATTACACGTACAACCAAAGCTATCCATTAACATGTACATGTATGTACCGGTACATGTTCGTGTTTATTTAAATGTCTGCCCTCAAAAAGTTACTTTTGAATTGAGGATTTCGGCCTTGTATGTATACATGTCTTAAAAAACGTACTGGACATTATAATTTCCGTAAAACCAAGTGTAATGTTTGTGAAAGGAATGTATTCAGCAAAATGACTTCATCCTCTGTGGAATAAAGAACATGCACTTGACCCTCCTGCGTTTGAACAGTGAAAAAAAATCAATCCTCTTCCCCTGCCATGCCTTTTACACAGGCCAGTCACCAACAGTCAGATCATATTTGAAGCAAGCACTGTGACTAGTCAAATTCAGTCAACTGACAAAAGCAGGCAGAAAGTAGGTACAGCTGTCTTATCAATCACGTACAGTCAAAGCATCTGTATCAAGTTACATAAACAGTCACAGCCAGTCAATCCTGCTTTATGTAGGCTGGGAACTCTCAACTGTTAAAAACAGTCACTTGATTGATTTTGACAGAGAGGACAAATTGGAACAGAATGTATGTTTGCATAGGAGGGTTTACTAAAATTAAAGCAAGAAGCACTATCTTTGATGTACTTCACATTTTAAAATTAAAAATTGTCAGTAGTTTTCCTCAGTTTTTTTTTGGATATCTTGATTTATTTTGTATCCATTTACATGTAATAGTAATTTGAGAGAACACTTAAAAAAGTTGTTAATTGGAATATGCAGAATGGTAATTAATTAATCAAACAACTCAAGTGTTGAAGGCTGAGAGTAAAGTTATCAGAATAAGTTGTATGTGTACTTGGATTAGATCAATGTCCACTGATCTAATAATAATATGGATTGTAATTGTGTATTTTGTGAATGTTTGTTAACTAACGAGACTCTTAAAATCCAAAAATTATTCAAAAAGTGGAAATCGGGTCACTCAACTTTAGCCTGCTTCTAAGCTTTTTATTTGTCATCCTGTCGTGACTGTTTTCTTAAAAAGCTGCTTACATGGGCATTCTCATCAAATGTCATGTGTTCTGCTTGGGGATGTGTATTTGTGTATTCTGCCAGAAGCCCCATCCGTCTGTGTGTTATTGTTCGGCTTAATGCTGGGGTCTGAGACGGTTGCTTGTGTGTACAAATGTGCCCCACACCCTGGGATGTTTGTCGGGTAGGGATCCTCTACCCCTCGCCTCCTTTGGTAAAGTGACGGCAAAAATCATACACAAAGACACTGCAGATGGTATCGTGGATAAAAAAAAATGCAGGGGTCAGAGAAATCTGCAAATGTCATTGACTTGTCCTGAGAGTGATGTACTTTGCTGGGCAAGACAGAAAAATAACTGGAAAATCAATTAAAATTGTCAGATGGCACATGCATTTTATAAGTGCGGCTTGATTAGGTAGGAGCCAGTTTTTCCACGCTTCCCACGAACACACTTACAAAAATTTATATAGGTTTGGCTTGCGCGTTAAGTTGAAAACTTTCGACAGCAAGATTTGCAAACAGGATCTGTTTGTTCTTTGTTCGATTTTCACTGTGTTGGGAACCCTGCAGTCGCTCACGCTTCTAGTAGAAAGGAAATCCCTTGGCTTGACCATTGCGTCGGATTTCAGACCAGGATGCATGGTCATCCTAGCTTATTCTATAAGGATGAGAATTTCCTCCTCCGGTCGTTTCTGTCTCCTCCCTCTCCCCCCCCCCCCCCTTCCAAGACAAATGAAATCAAGAAGTACTTTCAAGGAGCTACATGGTGAAATTGTTTGTCGATGAAATACAGCGAAGTGTGCTTGAAGGTACCGGTACATGTTACATGTATCAATGTCTTTTCTTTAAGAACACATTGTCTGTCGAGTCCACTCTCTCTGAAATGTCAATTTCATTAACTATGTTCTATCTATCTATCTATCTATCTATGTTTATGTGTACAAAAAGCATTGTTGGCCAACTCTAAAAAAAAAAAAAAAAAAAATTCGACAAAAAAAAGGAAAAGAAAAAGAAAGAAAACAACGAGGCTTCACCTTGCCAAGGTTTTGATTACTAGTACATGTACATATATATACTTTGTTGTGTTTGGTCCTGTAAGTGAATAGGCCTACTTACAGTCAGTGTAATTGCAAAAAAATAAAGAAATTTCTTTTCAGGCTAGCATTTTTATGAAAATTATCAGCGATGTTCCCCTATGAAGCAGTTGTATAATGGTATGAAGAAAAAATCGTTTTTGTAAACATACTTCAAGTTGACAATCAGGTATTTGCATACCATGTGAGTATGGGTGATGTATGGGTTATTAGCCGCGAAGACTCCCCTAGGCCGTCCGGATCATTTTACGTTAGACGGCCTTAATCCCGTGCCACGATTGCCTCTATAACACTTGAGATCCTACTGACGTGTGCTTCTCCCACTGTGCAGGGGGCCTTTTATTGTCTTATTTTACAAAAGCAGGTGATCAGAATGTCTTGTCTACCTCATGAGTGCCCCAGCGAATGTAAATGACTGATGGTGTGGCCCCTCGGGCAGGGAGAACTCACAAGCACCATTGCAATATCGCATTGCTTTCCCCCTGAGGTGACTGGGCTGGCTCTTTCCAAATTTCAGTACATTTACCTTTGCTCTGAAATATGGTAAGACAAGTATTATTATCTTGGTGGTTTCATCCTTTGTTGGACACTGAATGGCTAAAATAAATTTGTCATCTGGCACACTTGTGATAAGTGTGTCTTTGTTGTAGATTAGCATATTCCAAATTCGGGTTTTTTTTTGTTATAATAAATTCACAGTCTGTTGTACATGTACATAAGGACCTTTAAATATTTCCTCCGAATATGTATTGGTACATGCACCATGAAGTGCCGCAATATGTGGAATTATCTTTTTCACTGAGGGGGCATAAAATTTATACAAATTGTCTTAGATTTTTCTCTTTTGGGGGGGGGTGTCAAGTTTCCTTGGTCATACAGTACATGCTATATCCCCATCAGTTAGGTCATAAGCCTAAGGCACAGACCTGTATGTATGCATGAATTACATGTACACAGATAATTACATACATACGTACAGATATAATGTACACTATAGACTCCCCGCTCATTATGGCAGAAATGAATTCTAAAACGATCATCTGTTGGTCTATGGACCGTAGCTAAACTATTTTTCTTTCACTGCACTTCACTGTTACCTGTCAAAGAAATTTATCATTGTAAGCTATCCTGCTCAAGAACATTTAGAACTGTGACCTGTTAGACAAAGGTTTAACTCTGCAACATCATAGGATTGTACCGGTACATGTACTCCACATTGCATTTTGGAGACCAACATCTTTGATCAGCCTTTTTTTTTTTTTTTAATTGCTGCGGGTTATTAACCTTACTGGCAGGAAAGGCTTACCCCTCCGATCCCCGCTGAGATACCAGCTGCCGTCATGTAGGTAACCCATGCCGGGCAAGGCTTTGTTATTGATTCCCTTCCCAACGTCAGCATATCCGACATCTGAATTTGCATCAGTCCCTGCATTTTGGAGTCGGGTTTATTTTTGTTATGGGCACTCTCAAAGCAGTGGGAAACTCAGACGTGCAGCTGCTGTCTTTTTTGTCACTCAGTCTTTAGAAGCTTTGGCAAAGACTTGAAAACAAAAGAAGACGCGTTCATGCTCAGCAGAAGCTTTCATTCAAGGTATGCATGTCATGTGTAAGAGAAACGCTGATGAAAGCTTAGCCTCTTTAAGAAAACAAAGGTCAAGTAGACAAGTACGCTCCATCTCCAGGAAAGGCCATCTCCTGAACATCTTAAATCTGGATATTTTAAAAACCAATTTGAGGATTTGTGAATGGATTCGCTGAAATAAGGGCACACATCTTTAGTTCTTTAATCAAGTTTGGGATATCAACCTTTAACAGTGCTGAAGCTCTTCGGTGTTGAATTCAATTTGTTGAAATGTCTAGCATTCTGGTTCTATTTTTGTGGCTTAAAGTTAACAAAAACCCTATTGATTATCAAGTGAAGGCAGCGAGATTGTCAACTTTCTTAATTAAACAGGTTTGATAGGCTTTGCAAAAACATGCAAATAACTCTACATGTACATGTATGTCAGTAGAGAAAGGTTAATTTGAAAACTCTATAGAATTTTGAACAGGAACAAACAGACTAAGGCGGTATTAAAACTACATGCGATTCTGAATTTGAACAAATTTGTCGTCAAGAGAAATTTGAGGCAAATTCGCAGCGTGATCTTGTTCGCATTCACTTTCACACTGTGTGTCTGCATGTACTGTACCTGTCTTTGGATGGCTGTTTTGAAAACTGAAATACAAGTGTTAGCCCTCATGTTACCATAGCCACATGTGGCAAACATTGTTGCATTTTTGCACAAATCTCCTTAATTTCATTCAAAAGGCTACAGTCACAACAAGTGCCTCTCCCAATTACAAGAGACTGGCACAAGCACCTGTGTCTAGTGGTGGCCCCTGCTGTATTCCTGGCCGCCAAGTTTCATGGTTCACTTTTGAAAATGAGACTTGACACTGATGGCAGGCCATTACTGTTCACAAAAGTTCCTGTCCACAGCTTTCTTGTCAACTGCTCATGGGTAACTCAGAAGCCTCACCCAGGGGAACCCCCACCCAGGGGAACCCCTGGGTGGTGAGAGTGGCTTAGGGGCAAACTAAAAAGAGATTGATAGAATCGGTAATATGTTTTCATGCAAGGCCATTAAAGTCAAGGGACATTTTTCACCTTGTTTTCCAGGGGTCTGCTTCTAGCACAGACTGAGTGCACATCTGTCTCCATTGTACATGGAAGTGGTTTCATTGAGCATGCTTCCTCAACTTCACTTACAATCGCTGAATTGATTTAGAATCCTGTCGTGGGTGATGTCATGTATAGTATTGGTCTATTCCCAACGCTGGTGACTTGCAAAGAATTTTGTTGCCTCGCATTGAAAGTACATAACATGCACTTGCTTTAGTCTTGCTGCAGTCTGTACATAACAGGGTCAGGATCATTTGATTTTTTATTTGTGGTGTTTGTGTTCTTGGGCAAGACACTTTACTACAATTGTCTTTCTCCACCCAGAAGTACGTTAGTGGGTACCTGTGAGGGTTGAGACCATATGATGCTGATCTTGAGCTGCTGCAGAAAACTGATCTCATGGCCACATGAAAAAAGTTACATGTAAGGTGTGTGAGACATGTACAACACTTTTGAGTACTACATTGTTATTTTTAAACGAAGGGAAAGTTCCTTTTTTTTCCCCAAGAACTTTCCCAGCAGTTTGTGTTTGATTGGCATTATCTCACTTCCTTAGACATTTATGTTTTTTTATTTGTCAAGTAGCTGTAAGCTTTGCCTGATGGACTTTTTGTTGTTGTCAGACTCATTATCTTTTCATGTGTCCCATTTTACCAGACAGAGAGAATCTGTGAATGTAGTCCATTCCATCATCACCAAGTAATATCTCATCGTCCGTTAACACCCCCCCCCCCCCTCTTCCACCCATCTGTCAACGCAGAGGATTTCATGTGTGGTCATGATTCATGTCATCAGCGGTTCGTGCCTTTGAGACTTGTTCTGATTCTGACAGAACGGATTCATGAGAGAGAAATGAAAGTAACTCAGGCAGAGAGAGAGATAGGGCGGCAATTTCACCGCTGGATTTAGAACGATTTACATACTCTTTGCTTCTATAGTACATGACATTTCTGTCAAACTACACATATACCGATGTGTCCAATAATGAACATACCGGGTAGCATTTATTGCAGGAATTACATCGTGTATACTTAAGGAAAAGAGACTTACTTCAGAACAGCATTGTAAAAAAGTCATGAGAAATGTGTTGCTTCCAACTTACAAATTTGATAGTTTGAACCATACTTTCTGAAAAAATTGAACACAATGTGTTATTCTTAAGATTTTATTTTCAACTCTGTATGGAAAGGAAAGTACCGGTAGTTCCATAACATTGATAGAATGGATGGCGAGGAAATGCTTTAACGTGGAAATGTTTGTGCATTTTACTTAATGTGTACAGGATCAAAGGATTTTGCAACTTTCCAGTTAATTACATGTATGTAAACATGTAAAGTAACAATCTTCAATTGTTATCTTTTTTTTCTTCTTTTCTTGGTTTTTTTTTTGGAAAGGCAAACATAGCTGATTCCATAAACGGTGAACATGTACAAATTTACATATGGAATTGTGATTATATTTCAAGTTACATGCATGTAAAGCGTTTTCCAAATGTCCACACAAGTCATGCTAATAAGCACACAGTTTATGCATGATTTCCATTGCCGGGGTAAAGTCCTCCTATTTTCCTGAGGAAGTTTACACTGCAGAATTTTCCACTCTGCCTCAGACTCATACCCCGCCTAATCAATCTTGATGAAATCTTTCAGAGCACCCCCCCCCCCCCCCAGGCACTGACAGACCTGACAGCACAAACATACACATAGTCCTTTCTCCTCGCCTCACAAATTATTTGGGATTGTGTCGCTAATTTAATCAATCTTTCTCTTTGTATCCACTAAAAAAAAAAACATTAAAAAAAAATCTTCTCAACACACTTCCTGTTACTTTCCTGCAGTAGGAAATTAAAGTGGTGTTGCTTTATGTATACATGAAAAAAAATAATAAAGCCATCTCCTTTATCCCGCGATGTGGCTAAATCTCCTTCATCTGCAACAATAACAGAATGTGTCTGCTCTCTCCAAGATTCACAACCTCGGTCGTTAGAATAACAATGTCAGCATTTACAGGACGTATTTCTCCTGGGAATAAGGGTCGTGTCATCTGAAACCTAGAGAGGATCAAAAAATTTCCAGATGGCAACGTGCCCGATACCCAATGCCCGCAAGTTGCCGCTGCGATTTCTTAGCGTGATTACTAATGCGTAAATATGTCTCCGTTTTTCTATCCTTCTGATCAAGAATTGATAAGATCTAGGGAGGTATAATTTTTTTTTTTCAACTCATCAGGGAAATATGACGAGAAACAATATTTGCTTTCTACCAGGGCTTCCATCGAGAATCAATTCTGGACACAGTTGTATTTGAAATTAAACGTTGAAGGATTTTGGCATGCGAACATCAGGTGAACAGATTAAATTCTTGCAACTTTGATGACTGAAGATTAGGGCCCACGCACTTTTTTTCAATCCATTTTTTCTCCCATCTGGATTTAAGTTACTTGGGACCCAAGGTATGATGCTAGGCCAAAACAAAAGGGGGAGGAGCATGAGCAAAATTAGTGGAGGGTGACCGATTCTGTAGGACTTCACCTTAAGAAACCTTTTTAAAAAATCAGGAAAATGTAACTTTTATTTTGAATATTTATTAGAATTACATGAACTTAAAATTTATGTTACATTATACAAAAATTCCCAGCAAAATTTTGAAACATTAAAAATATGAAACTCCTAAAATTAGACTTTTAAAGTCAGTTAATCTTTAGTTAGACCTATGTATGACTGGAAAACCATTTTTCAAGAACCATGAAACACAAGGTACAAATACACATATTGTGCGCAGGGACTTGCACAAAGACACATTTGTGATTTGCAATTCTAGTCCCCATATATCCATTCAAGTTGCGATTAGCGACCTTGCTAACACAGGATTGGCTGACCCCAATTGACCTTTCCCTGGTCTTTTGACTCACAGTGTGATCAATTTCATCCAGTTTGGCCGTACAGTACTGGATACATTATAGCACCCTTAGGCCTGGCATATTTTCTGGTATCTGCCAAAAAAACTATGTTTCTAATTTATTTATTGCATCGTATTTGAGTTACTGAACCAAATTTGGTGGAGTGTGAATATTTAGTTTTCCCCAAGTGATATTGTTTTTACAATGTACATGTACCATCTCTACTCGTTGTAGGAGGTACATTGTATGTTATGATCTGTCGTACAAATTTATTCATGGTGTATTTCCCTGCCTCTGCTCTGTAAAATTGTTATTTCCCGGCCCCAATCTTTATGCTTACTATTCATGGAATGCAAACAAATTCACGTACATATCCTGTTGCTCGAAGGAAACACTGTGTAAAACCAATATTCTTGGGCAATTCACACTCCAAATTTCATCACCACTCAACAGTCGAAATGTCTCTGTGCTGTAATTAAGCCACACCAACTCATCAGACAGGATCATGAATAATTCATATATCCGGTCATTTGCTACATGTACGGTCCATGTGTAACCACAATCAGCTCTTATCCTACACTGCTCTGTGTGTGGTGAGTCTAGGATGCAGGGAGGTCGCTGCTTATGCCGCTGAGGAGGATCTTCCATAATCATCTTCCTCCCTTCTCCCTACGTCACCGGGCAGCCGTCTTTCACCACAGATGCATATGATTCAGGGTTAGTCTCTCCGACTCCCTCATCTGTAATTTTCTTTTTATCTTCTCTGCTTCGTCTGTTGGGTAGTAGATGAACTCTCTATCACTGTCGGAGAAACCGACGACACAAGCTGTGCCTGTCTGTGTACAGACTGCTCTCTCTCTTTCTCTTGGGGCCCTTTGAGGATATTGCTGTGTGTGTACAGCGTCTGGGCACAGCGTATTAATTTTTGACAGACATTCGGACCGGAACTGAAACGGGCTGTTTTGCAACTGCTTCATGGTCGTTCCAGGCAATCTGGGGAAAGGGAAAGTTGACGAAGTCCTGTTTGTAATTGAAGATGTTTGGATCGTAGAATTCTTTTTTTAATTTGGAAGGAGACGTCGCCTTAATTTTTGGAAGGTTGATAATGGTTGGCAGCAGTAAGTGTGTATTGCGTGCTGTGCATTCTTTGGGACGGGAATTTCAAATCGATGTCACCTTGGAGAATGCAGATTCACATATGGCGAGTTTGGAGGAACGTGTGTAAGGCATGGAAGGATGGTTTATAGATTTGGAGCGTCACGTCTGTGCGTCAGTGGAGTGTAACGGATGGTCAACGCATCGCTGATTTTGACGTGAGTGGATTTGACGAATTGGCGGAGATGTTAGTTATAGTCAAGACTGGTGCTTAATACGGCACATTGTAGGACAGACATCATGAAAAGACGGCTTCTCTGAACATGCTGGTCTTTGGATTGATACTGACATCATCAACGATAGGAATGATCCATCTCAGAATGATACATTGATAGCACAAGCTGTGCCAAGCATCACTGAGTTGTGGAGGTAAGTCTGAAGCATGAATTTATTTTCAAATTGTACATTTCCTTTGTCAGTGTATGTAAATTTCTATCATGTAACAAAACGTACATAACGTACGAATTTCAACTAAGCAATTAGGATGATTACTTAAGCATTACTGACTGTCATTGCCCCCTTGCTTCTGATAGTTGATGCCTTTCTTATACAGTTGCTTAGCAAATCTGGAGTGCTGACACACGAACATGTACATACGGCTACTCCCATCATCTTATGTTGTTTATGTTGCTGCTGATACATATGGAATGCGTGCCATTCTCCTCTCCCCCCCCCCCCCCCCCCCCTTCTCCCCCCCCCCACCCCCCACACTACAATCAATACCACGTCAATGGAATTTTGTCGCTGTTACGGTCACTGACGAGACAGCATCTCCATGTACCATCTTCAGCTATGCAGGGAGGGGAAAAATGCTTGTCATCTTGTGAACGCTCGCAGGAATCTTGTTAAGATATGAGTGGAGGCTCGTTCAGAAATTTCAAGGCCCCTGCTTGATGTTACATATAACTGCTGCTAAGAATAGGTGTCGGCACTTTCTTTTGAATATTTTGACAACTGACACATACCATAAATTTACATTTAAAAAAAAAAATTATGTTTTTTTTCTTCATATCCTTAAAATCCTTGGGGATGACTACATGTATACACACATTTAAATGATAAGTAATTGTAATTCATCAGAGCGAATTCAGGAATTTAATCTAGAAATTTTAAATTTTGACACTTTTGTGTATGGTTTAAAGTCATACAGTATACATTTGTTTAAACAAGCACCATTGTCAACCAATGATAATCATTTCACAGCGAATCAAATACAGCATTTTACTGTTTCTTGGTTTTTGGGTTGGTGGTTTTTTTTTGGGGGGGGGGTTTGGTTTGTGATTTTCTTTTCTTTTCTGTGAGGGGGGTGTTTTTATTTTTGGGGGGTGGGGTATACAAGTCTGAGTACCTGCACATGTGTTGAAGCAACCTTTTGTAATATTGGTATACAGGTACATGTACGTATATCAGTTTCTCAAGCTTATAATTCACCGACGTTCTAAATTACGTCTGTAAACGGCACAAAGTCAATATTCAAAGTCGTAGGAAAACATTTATCACCACATTCCAACCTTTTTAATTGCAGCAAAAAATTGAAGCATTTGTGGTGTTTTGCCACCAGGTACATGTATCTGATCAAAAACCTTTCAGACTTCTCCATGCAAATGTATCCAGTTACCCTCTGCCAATCCCCCGTCAGTAAATAATAAATGGCGCAATTCACGCACGCGTTATTTTGTTCTTCCTCCGATTGGCAGAAGGAGGTTTTTATTCATCTGTGAATGGGGTCAGGGGAATACATTTGCGGAAAGACAGACTTGCAGGTGTTAGGTTCGTATTGTGGTGCTCGACGTTGTGGAGACTTTGAGTGATCATGACAGTCTGCTGTGCATTTCAGCATGTATCGGTACACTGTATTTGGGACTATGAGGATTACTCCATGTTTAATTATACATGTTAAATAGTACTTTGCATAGTGGTGCAGTGTTCAAGTGCAATGTACATGTACCTTGATGTTGGTTTTTGTGTTCTTGTAGAGTACACAAAGCTCAGTTCTACAGATCTACAGTTTAAAAAGTATTCATAAATTAGCCAACGAACAAAATAGAGTTTTCCGGACGAAATGCATTCTGCAGGTTTGAATCTCTGTTCAACCTAAAATTGAAAGAAATCTCAGTGGTGTTGTTCTGTTGACACAAGATTTGGACGTTATTTAGAAGTAAACTGCTGAGTGTTACAGGAATTGAACATTTTTACAGTTTTTAAGAACTGTCAGGCTTTATGGTTAGTGTTTCTTTAAAACAATGTTTTTAAAACTTATATTAAGTAACAAGATCTGTGGAATTGAATTTATTGCCATTTGAGAAATGACAAATATTAAACTCTTTGCACTTCCTACTATTTGCAATCATGAACAGCAGTGGGAATTTTTCTCAGAAAAGTGAATGAGTGACACATGACTGGACCTTTCATTGATTTCTCAGAATAGATCTTCCCATCTCGTGGGTACTGGATGTACATGAGTGCATCCCCCCCCCCATCCCCACATCACTCTGACTATTGCCACGGCAACCCTGACTCATCCCCTGATGCACTCGCACACAGTCTCTCATGGATCCTTACGATGCAGTATGGATGCCCGCATCGCACTTGTCTTCATCTTATCAGGCCCGGAAAAGTATTATTGTCCTCCCTGGGCCAGCCACAGCAATAATCATGTTTAAGGTATCTTTCCTCTGCAGTATTTGTCAATTTCTTTTTTCTTTTTTTTTCTTTTTAATAAAAATGATAAAGTTCTTGGTAACAAAGATAATGAATAATATTGGGGGTTTTATTAAATTCAGTCCAGTCAATCTGAATTAGGCCCTTACTTCCTCTTATTTACAAAGTTGATGTAAAAAAAAAAAAAAAAATGTTTATATCAAGTTCAGTTTTTATGGATTCTTTTGTCTCTCAACTTCTTTTGGGAACTTGATTGTGTAAATCTTCAAAACAAAAATTACGCATGACTTTTATCTTACCTTTAACCGACACCTGTCACTTAAAACAAAATCAAATTTGTCCATGGCCCCGATGAGCAGGTCAATTGATTTGATAGGCAGAGGTAAAAAAAAAAAAAAAAAAAGACTGTTAAATGAAGCCAGTTGAGGCTGTGAAGGGACTATATCTAGCTGGAATATCAACCATCCCAAGATCTATAAATTGCAAATGCAATCTGATGGATTCAATATTGCCTTCGCCTGACCCACCAAATCATCTAATTTGTGTAGCATTTACATTGACAGGGCACCCTCTCCATATTGACATTCTCTATGAATGCCCATGTACTGTAAATACATTTTGATCAGAAAACCTGAAGCAGTTTGCATTGTACAGTACGTGGGTCGTCTTATTTATAAGGGGTCCACGTTTTTTTCCTGTCCCTGTTACTTCTGACATTTATGATTTTATAGCTCTGATACATACTACTTAATGCAGTCATCCTCCAAGAGTGATTAGCATAGCAAACTACATGTACCTACCAGTCCCTACAAATGAACCTGTAACAAATTAAAAATTGTTTGAAGTTAATCTTATACTTATAGAATGACCCACGTGCATACTGGTACATTGTACATCAATAAATGATTAGGCGCGGACATTTTTGATAGTGATTTATATGACAAAATGCCACAGTCCTCTAATTTATTTTCCTGGCTATAACTCCTCTTTAATTTTTCTTGTGCTTTTTAATAATGTTTGACATTTATAACTAATTAAAAACAAAAAATCCATAAATGTATGTCTTACTTAAATTAAGACATATGCAAGTTCCAAAGGAAATCGAATTGAACTTCACATTAATTTCAAAAGAAAATCCTACATTTAACAAACTGTCAAACGCAAGAACTGTTTATGAGAGGGAGAGGTATCTTTGGAAATATTGACATTTTTGCTCACACATATTCTTAATTTGATGGGACACCTCCATCTGCAACTCGGCCATAAATTCAGAAACCAATCAAAGTATCGCTGTCTCCTTCCAAGATCAGTTCCTGAGCTGAGTCACCAAGATTGATAATCTTCTTCAAGCTCATCCTTGTCCTTCTCTGCTTTCCTTTGAAGCTGTTTCCTCTCATCCGCAACGAAACCATTTGTCTTAATTTTGATAGCTGTCACTCTGCTCGTAAAGATTTTTCATTTTGATGAAAAATTGTTTTCTGTTGCTGAACCCAGGGAATACTGGTCATACATCATGTTTTTCTTCTGATAAAGGTTCTATGGATTAAAGTGGTTTCGTAAAAAAAAATTCAGGCGAGCAAGTGAAATGTTCGGAAATGTTCAGGAAAATATACTTGTACCAGTACATCAAGTCAGTGTTAGCTCAAACATTCCTATCTACTGGTACTGCCAGTGTTCTTCAGCAGACTCAATTTTTATCTTGTGAGAAATTCTCAACTTGTCTACTTTCTTTTACAAGAAAACTGTTTTAAATTTCTTTTTATCCACAATGTATTTTTGGGAGTGAGCAACCTTCTGAAAAAACAAAGCATATATTTTGGGTTACTTTTGTGCACAAATAGATCCACCCTACAATTATAGACTGGTTCCCAGGTCCCTACTTTATCAAATATGATAGGGGGGGGGGGGGGTGAGACTGGGCCACAAATAATTTGAAATTTACAAATTTATTCCACAACTAAAACATGGGCCAAAATTTTCGTACTACATGTATGTCTCATTCAAATGTTGGTAACTTTTGTATAGTTAAAAAAAAGAGCAATTAAAAATAATGCATAATTGGGATGAAATTTAAAAAAAAATTAAAAAAATGGACGGGTCATCTTAAACTGCCATCACCAATCTGTCAGACCAACTATTGGGACTGGCCATCCAATTAATTGACCGGTTCGCTGACCCAACCAATCAACCAAATGATTGCCCTCCATGAACGATGCAAACCGCCAGACACCAGGTTGAAACTAATTGCACTATTGATTACATAAATTGGGATTGTTTTTTTTTTCCAAGTTGAAATTGTCATACATTTGGATCTACAAACATAGAGAGCCTATGTATACATGTATGTATGCCAGTAATTTTGTGTTTTGTAGTAGAAGGTTGTATTTAAAAAAGTTCATTAGAACCTGATCTTCTGAATTTTTCTGAAGTTGGAAAGAGCATTCTCTGAAAAAAATGGAGAATAATGTGCTAGCTAGACTCGGGTCTCTGTCAAATACTGCCCCTGAGTGTATTGCAGGTTTCGATACAACCCTGAATTTTTGATCTTGGATTTGAGCAAATTATTACAATCCGAAGCCAATGTCATTGATCTGATTAGCACAGACATTTTCAAGCACCAAACAAAGTCTACTGGGTAAAAACAAGTTAGCAGCCAAAATATACATTTACTGTGTTGTGTTGCATGTGACTTGCTATTGTCCGGTTTT